CTGTACTGTATAAACCATTTAGGCTCAGGGATCGTCTGTGGATAGCTTGCTCAAGTGGCAAAATGGCTCAGGAACAGAGGTAGTATATTTGTACTTGACTTGTTAGAAATAGATACTTTGATTTAAGGTAATTACGTGTTGTTTCCCTAAAAAAACCTAAACTAACTAAATCAGTGGTCCAAATTACAGCTTCACATAGGAATCATTTTGTAGATGTTTATAAAAGATGACAGGATTGATTCAAAAGGAAAATCTACAAAAACAAAAGGAAAAACAAAGCCTCACCAATATCGCATTCCGTCCCAATGGCAAGCACGGTGGCAACATACTTCGTATCGGAGCCCCTCTTCTTTAATTTAACCTGTGTATAGTGCTCCACAGAATGCGCATTCGTCAAAACCCTCCTCCCCTTGATAACAAAGCCACTGCTACTCGAGCTGTACTGCCGTTTCCTCTGCCACGGCAGCGAGAAGTTCGGCTCAGTGTGAACACAGAAAACCTTCACCACCGCGTCCATGGCGGGGAGAACCCTAGCGACGGCATTCTCCGCATTAATCAGCGCAGTGGACACCGCGGCACTAACTATGGGCGAAACCGACATCGCTGGGGTTTTACCATTGTTAGCAGCGGCGGAAGATTCAGGTTTGGGAGCTTTTGGGGGGCGGCCGCGGCGCCGGCCGTTGTGGTCGGAGGATGAGGGAATAGCAGCGGGGTTGACGAGCTCCACGGTGTTGACGTCGGCGCTGGTGGTGGCCGGGGAGATGGAGGCGTCGCCGTCGTGTACGGTTGTTTCCGGCGTAGCATTTTTGGAGCCGCCGCGTTTCCGCTTCCTTTGGGAATCGCTGCGCATGGTTTTGAATCAGGTAGAAATGCTGGGATTTTATTTTCTACAGATGAAATTGTTTTTTTGAAGACGAAGTTATTGAAAGGGTTTTTTATAACGATTTGCGTTACGTGCAGGCTTCCTAAACGTCGTCGTTTTATGTTGTTTGTGCTTGATATCCAAATTGGGAACCTCCATTTACATCATTTATTCAATTCAACTTTAATAAATCATGAATTATAAAATAATTCCTTTCCTACCCCTATATATTTTTTTGATAATTTACACCTACCTCCTCTATGGTTAAATGTAGGGTAAATAGCACTTAACCCCCTGTAATTACAAACTTTGCAGATGACCCCTCTGTGCTCGTAATATTAGCACATGACCCTCTTGTTGCTTATGGGGTAGCTTCCCTTAGTTTTTCAGTCAAACTTAACCGCGTATGTCAAATTTCAAGGGACCATCTGCAAAAATGAAAGCACAAGGGAGTCATCTGCAAAAAAATTACTTTAACGTTTGACATTGATGGTTAAATTTGGACGGAAAAACTAACGAATGCAAAAATGAAAACACAAGTGGATCATCTTCAAAAAAAATTACTTTGATGTTTAACACTGGCGGTTAAGTTTGGACGGATAAACTAACAAAAGCTACACGCGATTAAGTTTGACGGAAAAAATAGCAAAATCTACCCCATCAACCACGAGGGATTATCTGCTGGTATTAAAAGTATAAGAGGGTCATCTACAAAAGCTTGTAATGACGGAAGGTTAAGTGCTATTTACCCATAAATGTAATTACACTTACACTTACTGTAGTTTGAAAAACTACTCATACCTCAAGTTGACCATCCATTTTTTTTTTGAAATTCATTTTTCACCCTTAATTACATAATGCATACAAATAAGTCCATTATAATTTTGAAAAATCCCATTATTTACAAACTGAATCGGAATAATTTTGTTATTATCTTTTGCCCTTCTCTCTTCGTTATTTCATCCTGTTCAACCCGCCACCTGGCTTCGAAACAACCGATGTCGTTCGAATAATCCGCTAAAAAGGAAAAGAAAAAAGAAACAGTAACGAAGAACACAGAATGATGACATCATCATTGCTATGTAAATTTTAATCTTGAGCTGCGGAAATAAAAATGTTAGGCAAAGATGAAGTTGAAACCATAGTTAAAGGAAGTAAAAAAAGAAACCTTAAAATACAACAAAGGCTATCACAACTAAAACCATGTATGTTGTTATAGCTGAAAATGCCTTGGCATCAAAATTCTGCAGAAATCTATTTATAGATATGTATAGCGAGATAAAAAAAAAAAAAAAAAAAAGTAAATGATTAAATAGCATCGTTCCCCAGCAGGATGTTGGTTCGGGATTTACTCCAAAATCTACACGGAAAAGAAAAAAATATATCTAATTAGATGCTCGTTTAAGTGTGTATGCACAATATAACGCAAGAATGTCGTAAACATAAAACCATGTGCTTCGTTCCAAATCAAGTTCGACTCACTAGAGTACGATTATCCAAGTTCAACTCGCATAACTTACTGCGATAAGTATCTATCAATGTTGTGGTAGCTTGCTAAATAAATCAAGAAAGTAACTACTCGAAATCCGTTGGAAACAATAGACTCCTGTAATAAACTAAACCCCCGAGATTCTGAACAAACAGTATAAACATTTTAGTACATATTTCCAGACTTCACTTGCATTGTTACTAGGAAACGAGCTTCTTATTGCACATAATACAGATTCTTATCAGATAAAACTGAAAATTTGCATCACATAAAAACAAAAAAATTCAGAGCATTGTATTACGGGGGGAAACGAAACTTACAGTTGCTACTGCCATGAAGGCTGCTTGTATCTGAAGTTTTCTTTATCCCAGCCGCCTTCGGGTTCCTTTCTCTTTAAAATACTACCCGAAACAGAATGTTGGCTCGTTGAAGGAGGAGGCAGTAGCATATCCTCTCTGAATTCACTATCAACTGAAACAGGGTCTGCGTTCAGGTCTAAACCCTGTCTAACTACAAACGGCCTCTGAAACTGTGATGAAACTGCACCAACTGGTCCTAACAACTGAGGATTCAACAACCTTTGAGCAGACGAGGGATCACCATACGAGGTTGCTCCAACAGGAAAAGTGGGGCCGAAAGGAAACACGGGGAATTGGAAAGGACCTGATGGGAATGGCACTGTAGAGGATGATGACATCACTGATCCGCGGTAAACATCAGGAGTAACCGACATGGTTGGGTAAGCATTCCTAGGTGGAAACCAAGACGAGAAATTCGCTAGCCCCCCAGGATTGTTGTTGTTATTATTATTATTATTATTTATTCTAACACCGCCGCCAGCAAAAGGCAGCTGAGATTGTGGTTGCAAACCAACCTTGACGGCTTGATGACTTAGTGTTAAGTGCTCCGCACTAGCATCATCATTGAGATCGAAATCCCTCTGAACATCACCACACGGTAAACCGTATAAGAATGGTTTCACGTCCACCATGGAACCCTGTCTGTTACGGTTACTGCTCCTGCTGGTGGAGCACAACCCCTTCTCATTCGCTTCAAATCCTCTATTCAAATCAAGATTCAACCCTCCTGAAACATGAATCGGCATAGAGTTTAAAGTTTCATTTAGTAACACAGCACGATTATTTACCAAATTACTCGTCAGGCCAAATGCCACTGCAGAATCTCGAGTAGGCATTTCCTCTGGAACCCTTTCAACAGGTTCGTTCAGATCTATATCCAGTGGAGCACGGCCGCTTTTACTGGTAGATGCATCATATGTCGAATTCATTGAATCCACTTTTCGGGGTTCAGCTGGACGAAATGCACTAGTGGCAGCAGACCCCTTCCATCCAAGCTCCCCTTTACTTCTCAATAGATCCTCTGGCGGAACAAAGGGGCCTTTGGCAGCAGCAGCCACTGTAATGGAAGGAGGATGGATGCTCGGGATAGAATTCACAGAAAACGGCAAACTGTTATTCATCTGAAAAGTTGTTGACTCAGTTGTACTGATCGGCTCCCCATAGTTCCCATCATCAACAGTTAAGCCTTCATTTAAGTCGAACTTTATTTTTGCATCAGGGTATGATGCAGCAGCAGCCGAAGAAGACGGCTCCGCAATGGTGGAAGTAGATTCCAATTCATTTGCATCAGTTCTAGCAAATTCTGGTCTCGCCGACTCATCGTTTGCAGTGATCTCATTCTTTTCTAATTTGGCCTCCCTATTATGACTCTTTCGACCATCAGTAGTGGAACACGAACCAGCAACCCCATGACCTTCAACAACAGTATTTCTATCCACTGCACTATCACAGTTCTCACTTTTTACATCGCTGATGTGACTCTTAGCATCTCTCTCCCCGATTCTGACTTCATCACAAGCTTCCGACATTATCCTCTCCCTGGGTGCAGTTTGTTGCAGATTTTCATTTTTAGCTCTTTCTGCTAATTCAGACTGTATAACAGCAGCAGCAGCAAATTTGTGAGGCGAATTAGTTCCCGTGCCCATTACTTCCTTTACATCAGTATTGCAGTTATCATCAAACGATTGGTTTGATGATGCAACTTTGTCCTCAGTGACGGCAGCGTTAGTTCCAATACTCCTACACTTTGAAACATTTTCAACAGTGCCATTATTTGTAGGGGGCTTTTGCTCCTGAATTTCTTCTTTCTTTGTTACACCAGCTCTTATCTTCTCATCGTTGTAAGCTTGTTGATTTGACTTCTCATTAACCTCCGACAAGGGCTCAGCAGCGCTTTTCAAATCTGTGCTAATAGAGGGTTTATTGCCTGCTCCAACAGGTATATCTGTATAGACTGGACCAAAATTTACGTCAGAAGACAGCGCAGGTTGCTCTTTTTTAGGCGAATTTAATCCATCTTCAGACCGTGATGTATCTAAAACAGCTTGTTTCTTGTCATCACCGGGAACCTGGCTTCGACCTCCTGGAATGTGATCTTCAGGGGATGACTTTGATTTTGCCTCATCGTCAAAGCAAACTTCATCAACTGCAGCGGTGCTTCTTTCTGTAGAATCAGTTGGTGATACTAATTGAGACCTGGACATTTCCCCAGTTGCCACACTAGCAAGTAAGTTCATTCCAACATCATCCTCAAGGGACAATGAAGAATGTGCTTCAGAATGTTTTACACAGCTCTCAATTAAAGCATTCATGGGACTGAAAGACGTTCCACGCAACTTTCCACCCTCCAATTGATTCTTTTTGGGGCCTTTGATTGATCTCCCCGAGTCTTCAGTTGACATACTTTTCTCATCATCCGGAACAACTGCAGCTGGTGACCCAGCAGCAACACCAGATCCAGTCGACATATCTTTTCTGTCATTGATTTGACAAGGATACACATTCACGTCAGAAGTACCATTACACTGATACTCACCACTTTTCTCCTTCGCATTATTGTCGACCTGCTGCTCGGGTTTGTCTGCAAGCACTGGAGATGATGCTTGACTTCGCATAACAGACTGATCTTCAGGAGATACTCCGTTGATATTTCGTGTAGGAGTCTGCACACGGTTTGGTATCTTAACAATAAGCTTATGATTGCTCGTCTCAATGATGGGTCCTTCAATTTCACTCGTTAAAGCAGACTGAGATACCTTATCTGAAGCCGTACTTCTGTGTGCTGAAGAGCTTCTGCTTGAACTGATTTCTTTCTGACCTCCAGTTACCCCTGGAAAACTACTAACTTTCCGATTACGAGAACTACTGCTTGACATCTTACTAGCAGATGCGGAGAATGCAGTGGGACTCTTCCCCTCCTCCTTCCCAGATATTGACTGGCTGTAGCTTAGAGACTGGTTAGAGCTACTGCTCCTATCCTCCCTAGTGAGAGGGAGATCAGGAGTGCCACTAACAGAAACCACAGGATGGCTCTCCTTATCAGATGCAGGTGGTGATACCGGTTTCACTACCCCAGGAGTTGAAGGGGCAGACTTTGGGTTACTCTCCCCATGCGAGGACTTCATTGAAGTAGTTTTAGATGCAGAATGCTGATTAGTAGAACTTCTCACGGCAACTTCTGACCCACCATTGGAAGACTCTGGAAGGTTCGATTTGGAAGACCAAACAGATGCACCTTGGGTCGAACCAGACTTTGCATCAATACTAATCATTTCTGCTTCAACACGTTTCTTCCATGTGTCAACTAAAGTCCGTGCCTTCTTATGAATTTCTACATTTTTATGTGACCGTAGAAGATTCACAGATCTGCCAATGTTACATGTTTGAAGGGCATGAAGATTCACTGGGAGTTTGTCCAGTGCACGAAGTAAAACCAAAAGAAATTCCTCCACAGATCTATCACCATCCTTTGGACTGTTACTGCCACCAACCTTCCCTTTGTGGATGTCCTGGAGCCATTCATCCAACACGGGTAAACCCCTGAGCTGCAGAAACCGATTAAGGCACTCAACCTTCTCAGTGGCAGCAATTACACTGACGAGCATGGAACGACTAATCAAATCCATTTTTCTCTCCATTCTATCAGGTTGCATTAATTGGACAAGCTTCTCAACCCCTTCCATATCTACAGATCCACCTTTTTCTGTTATTCTTGCAATTTCAGATTTCAAATAACTTTCAGATTTGCATGAATCACCATCATCTGTCCTTGAGGGACGTTCTCGTTTCACAGAATCAGCAGCATGATCTCCTCTGTCCCTCTTCTTTCCCTTAACTTGAGCAGGAAAAGAGGTTCCACTATTTTGAACATTATCTGAGCCAGGTTTCAAGTGCGAGGCTGGCGTCAGGCCATTAAGTTGTTTCGGAGAACGACCACCAGGCTGCGGAGTTCCATGCATTTCGGTCCTTGTTTTGTATAAAAGCTGGTCTACTTCTTCTTGTCGTTCCTGTAAAATCACTTGTGTAAGTGAGTATCCTGAAAAACAGTCTGAATATAAATTATGCAATACTCACCAACCTCACCCCGAACCCTTCCCATTTTGAGGAAAAATCAAGAACTATACATGAAAAAAAATGTTGACAATTGGATAACTAACATTAATGTAATCTTGGTCTGTCAGCCACCATAAACACTTGTTTTCGATGTCATAGATGCGCCGACAAACAAAAGAGGATGTCCCTGTGGGAAGTTCTACACCTCTAGGGAGAAATGCAACTTTACACGGATGAAGTAGAGAGGCTGCAGGAATCTTGTCCTTGTGAAATGAATAAAAGATTTCGTTCGGTGCACTTTCCAACAGAGAGCCTTTTCCAAGCTTTAGCTCAGCAGGTCTATAAAGCCAATTGACTCCTAACAGCAAGTTATTATCTTTGCTTAGTGTCAGCCAGCGAATTAGACCAATGAAAGGTGGAGATTCTTGAGGAGGTTTGAAAAGAGCACAATCGCCAACACTGATTTTGCGACCATCCTGCAAAAAGATGACAAACTTTATTATCCATGAAATGAGAGAAGTAAAGACAGGAAATCCTCTAATCAGTCATAAAAAATCTCAGGAAATGACACGTTAATTTTACTGAAAACGGTTTGTGAGCTGTCTCTGGTTTTCATAATTCAATACATTATTTTGTATTTAACTTGGCAGCCAAACAGTGCATTTTTTGTATAGAACAATGCACAGAAGTATCCATTGCATACGGTTCAAAAAACAACTACAATACTGAGATTCTTGGATTGTCAAATGAATTTCTCAAATATATGCAAGAACTGGTATCAGACAAGTATAATACATGTATGGTAGCGTAGAAATTAGTACGTACGAGCACTTAAGTACAATATTCCCAACATTAGACTATCCCAGTTCCTTTTATACAAACAAGTGAGGCCCCTGCATAAGAAATGTGTGCTTCTAATTGCAAAATTCATCTTTAAGGTCACTTGATTCCCTTTCTTTTCATTCATGGGGAACTGCAACGATGGTAGTTTTTGTTGTTATTGTTTTTTTCTTTTCGGTCAGCAACCCTTTCTTTGTTTTAAAGATAAATGCTAACTACGTAGTTAGGGAAATGAGAGTAGTTGGTACAATCCTCAATTCTGGTGGTATTCATTAGAATTTCTACTGTCTGGTGATTTGCTAGAAAGGAATGCAAGCGATGAGGCCGAATAGGTACATCATTAATTCATGGACAAAAATGACAAACCTTTCACCAACACCCACAAATAAAACCCACATAAGCCCAAGTGAAAAATATAAATATGAATCACATAACTAGTGTTAAACTGCATCGAATTAAAAATTAAACTGGCATACAAGGGATAACATTCCATCAAACCCTTAAATCAGCTAAGGTGTTGGTAAATTGGTGAAACATTACACATCATTGGGTTGTATATACACCATCAACAGTTGAAGAGTTATCTATTTATCCCAATCATGCATCACAGTCGATTTCCCAAAAAAAGGCAAAATACATCTCGAGAAATCAAAAAACTTCCGAGGAACATACTCGAGCACAAATTAACACACTCAGACAAATGAATACCAACGAAATAAAAATCTCCAACTGGTAATCTGCCCAACATTCCAAAGCAACAACATCACAACCAAAAATTATCAATCAAATCAACTAACCATCATTTTTTCTGTATCGACTCAAAATAATCAGCTCAATCGAGTAAAATCAAAATTAGGAGGGTGTGAGATAGCAGGGAAAATGAAAATGAAAAAGAAAAAAAAAAAGAAAAAGACCCACCTTGAAGAACGAATTTGAGTCCGCAGCAATTACAGTTGGGTGCATATGCCAACTGATACTCCTCCGTGGACTTCGACAACTCCCTTCACCTTCCCTCTGAACCCAACCATGCATAATAGCAATTCCTTCGTTGCATTTTTTCCAAATTTTGTAGCAACCCTAGCTTCAACCATCAATTCAAATCAATCCCCCAAAATTTACACACTTTCCGGACCTCGCATACCAAAAACCCCTAAAAACCACAATTTCAACCTCGTCTCCAAAAACCCTAGAAATCCTAAATCACCAATTCGAAAAAACCCTGGATCATCCGAGAATTCACCGATTGCCAACAGCTTCGAACTACGAATTCACGAGCGGATTCAATTCAGCGATCTGCAAATTCACATAAAAATTTACCAATTCATCATAACCTTCCGATCGACGCGATATATATATAAACACACACTAAAACGAATGAGTGAAAAACGTTTACACGAATCCGACTGCACACATAAAGGAACGATTCCTCCGGGATTTGATGAATCTTGTGAGAAATTGAAGGCTGACCCTTAGGGGATGTGATGAATATGCAGACAAAAATTGAAAAATTAAAAATAAAAATAAAAGGAATTCTGAGGAATGAGCAGACGGGCCTGACGAAACGACGGTGTTTTATTTTCTCACTCGGCGCACGGAATTTCGGTGTAATTATGAATCAGTCCCTTTGTTTTGGGAAATTACATTATGTGCACAGTCGCTATCATTGTAAATAAATTGGTGGCCCCATTTTCGTTATTTATCTTTTTTCTTATTTTATTTTCGTTTTGGTAACGAAATTGAATAAAATGTTGGGAAATAAGTACATTTCATTTAATTAATATATTATATAAATCACATATAAAATTATATTTATTCGCCAAATAAATAATAAAGGATATATAATATTTTGCCATTACTTTCTCATATGAACTTCAATTTTAGTGATTCAAATGAGGTTGGAAAGCAAACAAAAAAATCTACACAATTTCTAAGGCGAGCGGGCCGTGAGTAGTTTTCAATGGCGGAGCCAGCACATATTAAGGAGGGGCCGTGGCCCCTCACATTTTCCGAATCCCTGTTATTTTATATAAAATAAAAAAAGATCGTGTATACTAGCATTATTAGTCCTCTCTCATAATTTTTTTAATGTATTCGGCCCCTCCGAATTTAAACAAACTCAAAAGGAGGTTCATTTTTTTTCAATTTATTCGCATAATATTTTTTTAGTGATGCAAGTATTTTTCATACATTAGTCATCAATTAATAACATTGAAATATATTGTAGTTTTTGTTTCAAATATTGGCCTTATAAATGGCCAGTTATTGTAAAATATAAACTATGATCAATTTTATCCAAGTTTGTTTGCATATGAACTGATTAACATGTTTTGTAAAATTGTACCATGAAGTTTCTTGTTACAATTTAATATGATTTTGAATGAGTAAAAAAAAGTTAATGTTGGAATGAGTAAGACAAAAGTTATCGTATTAAAAGTTTTTAAAATTCCAAATTAAAATGCTAAATGCATAACAAAATTTAGTAAACACATTGTGGCAATGCCGCGTTTGGAAGCCCGTTTTGGGGCTTATTTTATGTTTTATTTTTGTAAAATGTTACAGGAAAATAATTTGAGAATAAAATGTTTGTTTATATTATTGAAAACGATGCAAACTGCAGTCGCAGTCAATTTATGTCTTAGAATAAAGATTTCAATTATGAAGTGAGGTATATTTATTTGTGTTTGTTTTTTGTAGTAAGACATTATTTTACTATAACAATCAAACGTTAAAAGAAAAATTTAAAATGTGATATAGTACGAGGGAAGAGACGGCTAACTCGAATTTTGGATGGAAAAAAAAGGCCTCATTTAATTTAGTTGCTTATTAGAAATTATATTATCACTAATCTTGTCAATTACTCGTAAGTCATAACATATATATCCGTCGTTCTTATTTGGTACGCACGTATACCAAACGCACCTCTAATATCGCCTAGTACACGTGTCATGTATATTGTGAGTCTTGTCCAACACGAAACAAGTCTTGCGTAACACGATAAATATCAATATTTCGTAACACGTGTGGATCGTCAATCTTGTCTAATTCGCAAATCAAAGATACCATAAACCTTGTTTAAAATGGAAAATTGTCAATCTTATCTAACACAATAAATAGGAAATTTTAAATTAATTTTTTTAATATGAATATATATATGGTATCTGATTAATTGTGCCCAAAGCCACAACTATATATCCAATAAAACACGTGACATTTATAATAAGTAATAACTGCATGGAAGTTATGAAATACATAATGCAAATATTTCCAATAAAATAAGACTTAATAAATGTAAATAAATAAAATAAAAATGTACCTTTCTCTACAAGAAATAAAAAAAAAAAAAATAAAAAAAAATAAAAAAAAATGGAGCCTCCTAATTTCACGAATCTGTGTATAAATACCCCTTCTCTTCCACACATTTTCACCACCACAACATTTTTCACTATATCACCATGGAAACTGTTCTCAGCGCCATAGATTCATCATCCAAGCCGAGCAACGGCAACCTCGGCTGCCCCGCCGGTAGCCGCGCCGTATCCACCGTCCACGACTCCAGCCACGTCCCCTCCTCCGCCGCCCCCGAGGCAACCCTAGGGCGCCACGTGGCGAGGCGCCTGGTTCAGATCGGGGTTTCCGACGTCTTCACAGTCCCCGGAGACTTCAACCTCACCCTCCTCGACCACCTCATCGCCGAGCCGGGGCTCAACAACGTCGGCTGCTGCAACGAGCTCAACGCCGGGTACGCCGCCGACGGCTACGCGCGCGCGAGGGGCGTCGGCGCGTGCGTGGTCACCTTCACCGTCGGCGGTCTCAGCCTGCTCAACGCCGTCGCCGGAGCTTACAGCGAGAATCTTCCGGTGATCTGCATCGTCGGTGGTCCCAACACCAACGACTACGGCACCAATCGGATCCTCCATCACACGATCGGGTTGCCCGATTTCAGCCAGGAGCTTGAATGTTTCCGTACAGTCACATGTTATCAGGTACATATACATAATATATCTACATATACATATATATACACACACACATATATATATGCACTAACGTTATGCATGACTAAATTAGTATATATGATTGATTCAGTAATCCCCATTTCCAGATTTGACCTAATTTATGATCCTTTTTCATAAATAAAAAAAATTAAAAATTGGATCGTCTATAAATTAATACAGCCAGAATTAACAAAATTCTATTAATTTAGTGAAATATTAAATTATCGAACTAATAATTAAGTATTTTTTTTATCGAGTAAGAAATTATTATTTAAGCGAGGTTATTAATTTATCGATCTGTATATATATAGTTGATGTTGATTATTTGAATTAATTTCACAAAATTCAGGCAATTGTGAATAATTTGGAAGATGCACATGAACAAATAGATATAGCAATCTCCACAGCTCTAAAAGAGAGCAAACCAGTCTACATAAGCATAAGCTGCAATCTACCTGGAATCCCCCATCCAACTTTCTCTAGAGAGCCCATCCCTTTCGCTCTCTCTCCGAGGTAATAACCCTTTTCTCGATTTTTCCGTATCTCATTATATATAGTTTTCGAAATGTTGTAGAATACTTAACGAATGCATGACGCAGACTGAGCAACAAGCTCGGGTTGGAGGCGGCTGTGGAAGCGGCCGCCGCCTTCCTGAACAAGGCGGTGAAGCCGGTCATGATCGGTGGGCCCAAGCTCCGCTCCGCGAAGGCCGGACCCGCATTCGTCGAGCTGGCGGACGCCTCAGGGTACGCTGTGGGGGTGATGCCCTCAGCCAAGGGTCAGGTCCCCGAGCACCACCCCCACTTCGTGGGCACCTACTGGGGGGCCGTGGGGACCCCCTTCTGCGGCGAGATAGTCGAGTCCGCGGACGCGTACCTGTTCGCGGGCCCTATCTTCAACGACTACAGCTCGGTCGGGTACTCCCTCCTCCTCAAGAAGGAGAAGGCGGTCATAGTCCAGCCCGACCGAGTTGTGGTTGGAAACGGGCCCGCGTTCGGGTGCGTCCTGATGAAGGACTTCTTGAGCGAGCTGGCGAAGAAGTTGAAACGAAACGAAACCGCTTACGAGAATTACAAGAGGATTTACGTGCCTGAGGGTGTGCCGGTGAAAAGTGCTCCTAAGGAGCCTTTGAGAGTTAATGTGCTGTTCCAGCATATACAGAAGATGCTCAACGAGAAAACTGCGGTTATCGCCGAAACCGGGGATTCTTGGTTCAATTGTCAGAAGCTGAAATTGCCTCAGGGTTGTGGGTAAGTTTTGAATTTTAATGATTTTATTTTGAAAAAAATAAAATAATTAAGATTAAAAAAAAAGTTGGTGTTGTTGCAGATATGAATTTCAGATGCAGTATGGATCAATTGGATGGTCAGTTGGTGCTACACTCGGCTACGCGCAGTCGGTGCCCGATAAACGTGTTATCGCTTGCATCGGTGATGGGAGTTTTCAGGTAAATTATATTCTACAAGCACTTTTATATATATTTATGATTGACAAAATTGTTTTTGTACGTTTAATTAATTCAATTTATTTTTTTGTGTTTTTTTAAGGTTACGGCACAAGATGTGTCGACAATGATCCGTTGCGGGCAAAAGACGATAATTTTCTTGATAAACAACGGTGGATACACTATCGAAGTCGAAATTCACGACGGACCTTACAATGTGATCAAGAACTGGAACTACACCGGAGTTGTCGACGCCATTTGTAACGGTGAAGGCAATTGTTGGACTAGTAAGGTATAAATTCCTTAATTATATCAATTACATAAAAAAAAAAAAAACATATTCAACATATGTCGAAAAAACTCGATAAAAAAAATTGAGAAATGTTGCAGGTGTATTGTGAGGAAGAGCTGATTGCAGCAATTGAAACAGCAAGTGGGGAGAAGAAGGATAGCTTGTGCTTTATAGAAGTGATTGTTCATAAGGATGATACTAGCAAAGAGCTTCTTGAGTGGGGATCTAGGGTTTCTTCTGCTAATAGTCGTCCACCAAATCCACAATGATCAGGAGATTAAGTTAATTAATTTGTTTAATTAATAGCATAATTTTTTTAATATTAGTTTTAATTTCTTTATTAATTATGATTATGTTATGGGATGGGATGGCATGTTGGTGAAATTAATTAAAGGCTTGCATGGTTGACTTCTCAATTTCTTTTATGCTGTTTGTTTCTTCGTATCATAATGGAATAATAAAATTTTTTGGCTTAAAAAAAATATAGATTTCTCCATTTTTGGTGATTGAGATAGTCAATTTAATTATTTGCATCTATATTTGTTCTTTGCTTCGTACATGATTATTGAATTATTTTATAAATTGATACAATAGAACTTGATAAATTAATAACCTCACTTAAATAATAGTTTTTTTTATTCCCGATTCGGTTAAAATCTACTAAATTATTAGTTCGATAATTTTAATATTTCGCTAAATGAATAGAATTTTGCTAGTTCCTAATATATTAATTTATAGAGGTTTAATTGTGTTTAGATGATGCAAATATGATATATAATTAAAAAATCATATATTAAAAAAATGTGGTTTATTCTCAAATTATTACATATATATATTTAGATGGGGTGAAATAGAGTTTATTACAACCTAAATTGGCTCAAAACTCAATCCATGAAGATCTTCTATTTTTTTTCAAGCTATGTTTATTAGGCATCACTTACCGAAAATCTAAAACATTATCAGAACGTTTAACAAAATAAAATGAACCGATCGTAATTTAAATGACTTAGCAATAACGAGACAATCTTCCGTATCAAATGTCGATGGTATATAATGCTTCTCACCGAGTAAGAGCTTCAATAACTTGTAAGCAATCGCTGTCGAGAATAATGGAAGACGAACCTCTCATTCGAGCCTTAGTCGAAGCTTGGGTGATGTGGACTTGCGATTTAAATGAAACTTGAGGGGGTGTTTATGGATTTGTAAGGAGGCCTTTTTGTAATAAAAAAAGATTGGATGGGCTGATATGTACTGGAACTCGGTGTTGAGGACCGAAGTCAAATAGACTATAATCAAAGGACCAAAACTTAATTACCTAATTTTTTGGGTAAGAAAATTGAATACTAATAGAAATTAAAATTAGTCAACAAGTAGTAAAACACCTCCATCCCAAATTAAGAGTCAACGCCGCCGAAACGCCACCAGGAGTGTTGACTAATTCCGGCAAAGCTCCACCACCGGAAACATGCCGGGTCCGGGCCCGCACATGATCTACGCACTCGGGTCGGGCCAGGCCCTGATGCACGCATCCAACGGCCGGTTCGGCCCGCACCACTGCGTCACATACGGAATCAACGCCTTTTTCGGGCCGGACATCGGGTCGTTCTCCGAGTGGCTGACGTCATCACTGGGTTTGGGTCGGGTATTCGGATCCTCCGTCGAGTCCTGGATCCACGACCCGTTTTACTACCCTCTGATTCTGGGCTTCCCTTTATCGCTGCTCTACAGCTGGGTTTCCCGATTTCTCCTCCACAAAGGCGTCCTCGATTCGTTTTCTGGGGTCAGTATTGTAATTATTTGAAAATCTGATTTTTTTTTTACTTAATTGGTTTCTGCTGAATTTAGTTTCAATTTCTGAATTTTTATTTTTTAATAAATATTATTGATCTGATTGAGCCCAGTATTTGTTGGATTGTGCAGTACCACATAACACAAGCATCTATGTTTAACTAGTTCCAATCGAAACTTTAGTTCGTGTAAATTCTAAAGTTATTAATCGGCAAGCGGTGTAGTGTCGATTTACGGATTAAAATCGCTAGTCGGGCGGAAAAAAAAGATCAATTAAGTGTTGCATTACTCTACTTGACATTGTTTTCGGATCACTCTGTTTCAATAGTAAAAGAAATAAAGAATAGATTCAATTAATACTCAAGGCATAAAAGAATCGAGCTTGGACTTTTCGCTAACAACACGAACATATATTTGTATTCTATTTTGTAATATCAATTATCTGCCTTCTTGTTAGTGATCGATAATTCGTTACAGTAATGGACAGGTGGCGTTCATTTAGGTAGTAATTCTCAGTTGATAATGTTCTTAGGCCTCGTTTGGTTGGGTAGATTAGCCATTGTTAACTGAATAACTCGACTTTATTTGATGTTTGGTATCCCCAATAACTTACCGGGTCGACCCATAAATATTATGTTATCATGACTTATCTTACCTTTTAGAGGGTTTTTTTGTTGGATGTCCAAATTGGGTTTTATTAGATTATTTAATCTTATGTTGGTAACCAAACGAGGCCTTAGTTGATTCATGTAAGAGTGTTTCTGGTTCAGGTACCCTTGACTGTGAGACAGTGCTTCTTGTTGGTCTTCGCGGGATCTTTATCGCACTTTTTCTTGGACCATTTATTTGAGGTATTTATTTATGCAGTATTGCTTCGTTTTTTTTTTCTTCTCTTAAACAAAGTTAATAAGTATCTCGATTTTATCAATTAGACTATTTTAGTGATTATTTTATTACAGGAAAACGGACATTCTACGATGTACACTTGGATATTAAGCACTGGTTGGTGGAAAACTCGAGCCCCAATCAATCCCGACGCTGTCGTTGTTATCGGACTTTTGTGTTCAACTTTAATCGGAGGCTTTATTTACATATACAGGTTCCTTTTTTTTTGTTTTGTTTTTTTTTTTTTTTTTTTTGTTTTTTCGATCAATGAATTTTGCCAGCATAAACTCAAGATTTTGCATTCTTGCAGAGTGAAGCTTTTGAAGAGTGCGAGGAAGCAGAATCGCAACAGATCGTTAGTATTGATTTTGGTAGTTGCGATTGTGTACTGCGTGTGGTGTGGGACCCAGATTTATTTGGTCAGTCCACGTCGCCCGGCGGTGGGTGAAGAGGCCGATCTTGGTGTGCTCGTTTTTCTTGGTGTTTTCTTTTTCTTACCTCTTTGGTTATGCATTTTATCGATGAATAGTACAAGGGATGTTATCGATTATGCAGATCAAGTTCCACTTTAGAAATAAAAAAAATGTGAATTTTGTAGTTATTAACTGTAAGCTCTCTCTCTCTCTCTCTCTCTCTCTCTCTCTCTCTCTCTCTCTCACACACACACACACACACACACACACACACACACACACACGCGCTCACACGAGGAAAAAAATTCGGATACTTTTTGAGTTTTGGACTATGTACAAAGAAAGTACGACTGGCCGCGATAAAATTATGCAGTTTTGTGATGACTCAATTGTATAATGGAACTCTTTATTTTTTCATTGCTAATTAATTTCCAAATATTTGACAAAATTTGATTGTATTTGAGCTTATTCCATGTTAATTAATATACATTTTGGGTTTTTATTGTGCTATTAAATAAGCAATAGCTAGTTGAATGATGTAACTGTTTGCAGGAGCAGGTTTTCGGTGATCTTCTAAGAATTTGAGCTGAGCTGTGGGAGATGATGAGGTATATATATATATATATATATATATATATATATATATATCTTTCTTCTTCGTATTTTTGCCCAACGGGCCTGAAAATTTGGGTCGAGAATTAAATTAAGCTATTCGAAATCGATCATTAAGAGCTCATATGAAGTTGATAACATTCAAATTACGCTTGAACGTATATTTTTCTTCAATTAAATATTAGGTTCAATTCAAGTTCTACTCGATTATAATGAAAATTAAGAAAAATATGTAAAAGTATAAGACTGTTCGAGCTCGATTCTCAACAAAGAAAAAGAGAAAGAAAGAAAGAAAAAACACAAAATTCAGACATTTGTTATTAAAAAATATAGGTATAGCTCCTTCAAAACTATTAAAAGGGAGTTATTTAAAAAATATTTAAAAGAACCATACATTCGGTCTTAATTTAATGTTTCGAAATACGAATTATTTCAATATATATTCAAACCTAAATATTAAACGGTACAATACAAGTACCAACTGTGCCGTATCGAAAGTAACAGCGCGCGTGCATTGGCATACGGAAAACGCCTGGTACGAGTGTACGACAACATACCGAACCACACGAGATTTTAAGATTAACAGCATTGTTGACAGGTACATCACACCCTACTCGCTATCTTTAGATATTCATTTTTTTTTTTCACGCCTCTATTTTGGAAACGAAATTAGAAATTATTTGCTATATAATATATATTTTTCCCTTTTCCCCTAATTAATTATCATATTAGAAAGACAATAAAAATTATCTGGCACATCATAATATAGTTTCTATATATTGTCACATTGATGTTATTTTTGTTTAAAATTTTACCTAACAATTTGTTTAAAATGTAACGTTGATACATGGATTAGGTAAACAATTGTTATTGCATCTCATCATTGTAATGTGTATGCTTCAACTAATTACAACCTTTTTTTTTATAAAAAAATTAATACATGAGAAAAATTGCAGGTTACTATCAATCTTTTATCGAGGACCATTTAACAAATAAAAAATGTGCTTAAATATATTAATGTATTTTAACGTTTAAAATACCTTCATTTCTTTATATATTTTTATAACAAAAGTACTATTATATTTTGATGGATAATTACTAAAAATTAAATGTTTGATGGATAAATGTTAAAAAGAGCTTATGTGATCTTTAAGAGCTTAAGCTCTTCCAAACTGTTCGGTATTTTTTAAAAAGATCTTAATTTAAAATAATAAAATAAACTGTTGGAAATAAGATCTTTTAAAAAAAATACATTTACCCCACATTTTTATTTAAAATCTTATAATTCGTAAAAGTAATAGATAAACTTTGTATCCAATTCTAAAAATAAGATGTAACAGTTTCTCAATCCTTAGAACATCTTATCGTACGGAAGAGCTTATCAGCTGTTTAAAATAAGTTTAGCCAAACGGGCACCGAAAATAATACGTATTTGATTATCCACGCTAATTCACGCTCATTATCGTCTGTATGCCAAGCTGTATTTAAGTGGCATGTCGGACTCCGACATGTTTGATCGTCGTATTATTTAGTTAAATATAAGTTATAACAAAAAGTATATATATTTTGAGTAATACATACAATTTACGTTTTATGTTGTTCTCAAATATAATGTACTGATTTAATTTTAAGAAATTGCTATTATATATTAAGACAAAGCTAGCTAGCTAGTCCATGCTTTAAATTAGACTGTTATTAGAGAAAAAAGAGTAAGGAAGTGAAAATGGCAGCTCGCAGAATTTCTTCCTTGTTCTCTCGTTCTCTCTCGCTTCCTACTGCTCCTGCTTCTCTTGGTAATCTCTCTCTCTCTCTCTGTGTGTGTGTGTGTGTGTGTGTGTGTGTGTGTGTGTGTGCGTGTGTGTGTGTAGTTGTATGTGTGAATATAATTCTGTGTGTGTATTTGCATGTGTGAATATAGTGTTCTTTGTGTGTGCACGTGAATCTGTAAATATAGAAAACTGTGTAAATATGCATATTTGCTTGGGGTGGAAAGTTGGAATTCAAACTTTGAAATTCCGACGATTTCGATTCGAAGATTTCCAATTTTGGAACAATATTTTTCTTTCCAAATTCCAAAAGTTCCAATATCCAATTTTTTCGATTCTATTTTTCAACATAACTGGAATACACATTAGATTCTAATCGATCCAATTATAATTTTTGAAACTTCCAATTTTTTTATTTTCTTCCGGAAATTACTTTTTTAAATGTTAATAATATTATATAAGTAACTAAAATAATTGAAATTCCGAATTCCGCTAGTTCGAATTCATTTTTATTTTATTTTATTTTGGACAAGTTTTTTAATTCTAATTTCAGAAATTCCGATTTTCGAATTTTTTCAGGAAAAATTTGGAATTAGTTTTTCGATTCCGAAAAAAAATGATTTTTTTTCCCAAAGTGCTAATTCTTTTCTGATCCATCCGATTTTCACCCCTGATATTTGCACTTATGTATCAATTTATATATATATATATATATATATATATATATATATATATATATATATATATATATATATATACAGGCTTTGGAAGGGGAATGCAAAGATTTACTAGTAGTGCTGCAGTAATTGATGAACCAATAATCCCACCTCTTCAAATTAATTACACCAAGCTTCTCATCAATGGTCAATTTGTCGATTCAGCTTCTGGTAATTAATTAATCAATTCCCATATCTCTATATATGAATAAAAATATATTCAAAATTTAAATCCATAAATCTTGAATTTTTCATAAAAAAAAATAAAAATTCAGTGATCATATATATATATATATATATATATATATATATATATATATAAATATTCTGGCAGGAAAAACATTTCCGACACTCGATCCTCGAACCGGAGAAGTAATTGCACATGTTGCTGAAGGAGATGCAGAAGATATTAATCGAGCTGTATCAGCTGCACGCAAGGCGTTCGACGAAGGGCCGTGGCCAAGAATGACTGCTTACGTAGGGAGTATATCTATTTTTCATTTCATGCATGTATTTATTTATTTTTGAATTTATTTATTAGTTTTTTTTATGCGGAATTGTTTTTAGGAAAGATCGCGCATAATGTTGCGTTTCGCTGATCTGGCGGAAAAGCACACGCAAGAGCTAGCTCAACTCGAGACATGGGACAATGGGAAGCCGTACGAGCAAGCTTTGACAGCCGAGCTTCCCTTGTTTGTGAGGCTGTTTCATTATTACGCCGGTAAAAAAAAATTCAAATTACTCTAATATACATATATAAGTACAGTAGAACCTCGATAAACTAATAAGCTCGTTTAAATAATTTTTTTTTTTTTATTATTTCGCTAAATTAATAGAATTTGGCTGGTCCCAATTGTATTATTTTTATAGAGGTTTAGCTATATATGTGATTTAGCAATACTTTTCAAAAAAAAAATATTCTTGAAATTTTCGTGATTAAGTTTTAGAGATTTATGATGTATGCAGGATGGGCGGATAAAATCCACGGCTTAACGGTGCCGGCAGACGGGCCCCACCACGTACAAGTATTGCACGAACCGATCGGTGTTGCGGGCCAAATTATTCCATGGAACTTTCCGCTTCTCATGCTCGCCTGGAAAGTGGGACCCGCTCTTGCGTGCGGCAACACTATTGTACTAAAATCGGCAGAGCAAACGCCGTTGACTGCTCTGTATGTAGCAAAACTCTTCCAAGAGGTACTACTAATTTTAAAAAAAAAATTCCTTTTATTTGTCATTGTTTTCAGAATTTGTTTTTTTAATATTAGTCTTGGTTTTTTTTTTAATTAATATTTTCTCGACCAGGCAGGCCTTCCGGACGGTGTTCTTAACGTTGTCTCAGGGTACGGTTCGACAGCTGGCGCCGCTCTCGCTAGTCACATGGATGTGGACAAGGTATCGAAGTTGTTTTGATCGTTGTACACTTTTCTGTTAAGAAATTCGGTCGACGGTTAGTCACGCGGTAGTTTTTGATAATTATGATTACTTGAGGGGTCTTTTGGTAATTCGACCTTAGTTCAGAGGGTTTCGGTAATTTACTATTTCCCAAAAAATTGGGCATGCATAATATATAATTGTCATTCTACAGTTAGCTTTCACCGGATCGACCAATACCGGCAAAGTGGTGCTGGAATTGGCGGCACGGAGCAATTTAAAGCCGGTGACGCTTGAACTCGGCGGCAAATCTCCGTTTATCGTATGCGACGATGCTGATGTGGATCATGCTGTGGAGCTAGCACATTTTGCTCTATTCTTTAATCAGGCAAGTTCATTAATTATTTTTTTGTACACCCTTACATGAAATTAATTTTTAGAATGGAATTTAATTGTGTTAGAATATATAATATTGACTTGTATAGGGTCAATGCTGCTGCGCTGGTTCTCGTACGTACGTCCACGAACGTATATACGATGAATTCGTCGACAAGGCAAAGGCACGAGCTTTGGGTCGTACGGTGGGTGATCCATTCAAGAACGGAATCGAGCAAGGCCCGCAGGTAAATTTCTATATTTGAAAAATTCAATAAATTTGAAATTTTCGAAAAATTACCAAAATTGGAAAATTGAATCGAAAGCACTCGTCACCACACAACTCAAAATTCTAAAATGGAATATTAAAAATTCTATAAAAAAAATATTAAACCCTAATAATGAGAAAGGGCCGAATCTCAGCAGTCGTCCGAACAGTCCTAAACACTAGTAGTTAAAAATCAAATAAAGTAACAAAAACGAATCTTGTATGGCTCAATATTGTAAGAGAAAAACTCAATTTACGAATTTTTTCTTTAAAAAAAAAATCAAATCCTGTTACAAATTGGGGAAGAACACTCTTTTTCGAAATCGTGACTTAATTTGACGTTCGTTTCAGATTGATTTGAAGCAATTCGAGAAGGTTCTTCGATACATAAAATCGGGTATCGATAGTGACGCGACATTGGAATGTGGAGGTGATAGATTTGGTTCTAAAGGTTACTTTGTCCAGCCAACTGTTTTTTCAAATGTCAAGGTAATTTTTATTCCATTATTGCCATTTTTTGTTCAGACAACATATAGAGCAGTTTATACAAGAATGTGATATAATTAATTAAATATTTTTGTTGAATAATAATAAATAGGATGACATGTTGATAGCCCAGGATGAGATATTCGGCCCGGTCCAGTCCATCTTGAAATTCAAGTAAGTTTTTTCGAAAAAAAAAATCACAATGTTAATTCTAATCCGATGTGTTCGATTTCGCCCCTTTTATTTGAGGCACTAACTAATTATTTACGCGATATTATTGCGACTAACAAGGGACGTTGACAAAGTGATTAAGAGGGCAAACGCAACGCGTTACGGACTAGCAGCCGGTGTATTCACAACAAACATCGACAAAGCGAACACAATTTCGAGAGGATTGAAAGCCGGCACGGTGTGGATCAACTGCTACGACATATTCGATGCCGCGATTCCTTTTGGAGGGTACAAAATGAGCGGCATTGGGCGGGAGAAGGGAGTTTATAGTCTCAATAACTATTTGCAGGTCAAATCCGTCATTTCTCCTCTTAAGAATCCCGCATGGTTGTAATCGTACATAGGCGGAAATTTTACGCCATAAAATAAAAACATGGGGTGTTTAGTGCAAATTTTCATTAATACATGGGGTTTTATGCAAATTAAATAAATGGACACGTGACTGGTTTTGTAGACTCTATACGTGATGAGATACGCATGTAGTTTTATTCCATAAATTTACACATGCACAAACGCACGAGGTGTGTGTAAAAATGAGTAGTTGACGATACACGCATATACTAAGTTTTAGGGATGTGCTAAATGTCGTTTCAGTTTATATACTACCGTTTTGATTTCAAACGTAATTTTGTCCATTTTCGATTTTGCAAAACTCGAAATCACGAAGTTTGTAGTTTTTCTAATCAAATTTGAAACACCAAAACTATTGCCCTCAACTCTTAACGTTTTGTGTACCTATGCATAACTTTTTCTCTCGATACGCAATCGAGCTGATTTAAGTCGGATTAAAAAGCTAACTACAAGGATTACGCTTTTTGTATTTGAATTTTACCAAAATCAGACTAGAAGTGAAATCATGTTATAAGTTAAAACGGTATTAATAAAATTGATACGTGAGATAACTATTCATTAAATTTTATACTTGGTGAAATTGACATGGTATAAATTTGAATGAACACCCTTGTTTTGTATCTAAGTCCTCACCACAAATTAATAATAACAAAATTAAAAAAAATTCAAAGTTTGGTCCTTAAATTCTTTCATAGTAGACCAATTCAAACACTCAAAATGGTATTTCCTCTTATTGTATTAGTGACAAATGTATAAGTATTTTAATATAAGATAAGATAAAAATATGTTCAAATGGCACACATCTTTGACCATTAATTACTTAGGACATACCACATATATTTTATGAATCTAATTAAATGTCCGATTTAATTATGATTTATGAAGTAATTAAAATCATACACGCGTAATCACCTAATTATTTTCAAGTGATTGCCATGGATATATGTCTTGTTATTTTTGCTATGTACACAAGCGCGTGATACTTGTCAAGATATTGTTCGTCCACGTGGATACATAAGGTATGAAATGATGTTGATATAATTATTTGACAATATTTACATTTCTATCCCATGATTTTGCGGTTGTTCAAAAAAAGAAAAATAAGGAATTGTGAAATTATTGCAACGTGTGTCGGCCTTAATTCAATTGGTAGGTTAGTTATGGGTGGTACGAGGTTGGTTAATCCTAGGTTTAAGGGAATAGATGGTCGATGCAAATATAATTCGGTCGATGAGATGCTACATCTTGGTATACCAGATCGGGTAGTTATGAACCGTAGATCTATATAGTAATAAATATCCACCACATGGCACATATATGTGTGGATCAATTGTTCAAGATTCCGCTCAAATTGTTTAATCTTACTTCATTCAAAGATCTATATATATAAGAGTATCACGAGTTGAAATTTTAATAAGGATTTAGAAGTTTGTCAAAAACGTAAAAACTAGATTCGGCTCAAATATGATAGCCATGTAATTTACCGTAAGCTTTTCGAATGGGTGTATGAGTGTATCTAAAGTTAATGTTCTCAATATAAGAATATGGGTAAATTACGGGCAACTCTTGAGGTAAGACAAAATTACTTACAAAACCCTCTTGATCTATTTTTCCGTCTTACAATTACACCCTTACGTACACGTACGGAGCTATGAGTAGTGGAATCTTAAAGATTCCATGCAATATTTTCTATGAATTTCCAAATCTGCCCCCAAGAAGGTCAATGTAATACCCACAAAGATATAAATGCAATATTGTATATTACCTCAGAGAGTACCGTAATTTACTCTATCAATGTTTAATAAAAATGCTAATTATTTAGCCGAGTCATTCATTCGGTTAGGGTTTATAACGGAATGTTAGTTTAAGGAGGTATTTATAAGTATCAATACAACAAGAATATGCAGATTATTTAATCTTACTTCCAAGGGTACGTACGGTCATTTACCGTAACAAATATCTCAAGTGATGCATGCATGAAGCAATAAAGGGGAATGAACCTATGAAAAACGCGATTTTAGACATTAATTTTATATATTATTCAACGACTTTAATGATTAAATCCGACGAAAGCGCGGGAATAATTATATTATGTCCAATAATTAAATCTTCTGTCGCTTTCAGCTTTCTAATTGTAATCTTAAACCACTCGAAGTCTTCATTCTTGTCCGCATACATAGCTGCAGGTACAGGTTTCAGTTTTAATCAGGTTGCCACGTGTACACGGCGTCGGCTGAAAAGAAAAATCTTGCACAACATTATCCACATTGCCACAACCCAATTAGTTGTACAATATCAAGGCCTTGTTTGGGAAGAGGAGAAAAATAACCATAATTAATTATTTTGATTTATTGGTTTATGAGTCACTAAAAGTGTAGTCTCAAGAAACCAAAGTCCAAGAAACATTTAGATTGGAAATTCTACATTTGTTGAAATATATCGGACGATATTTAACTTTTTATATACAAACAATCGTACAATAAATTCATCGAATTTATATTGACGTATAGTAAAAATAAATATCTTATTAGATGCATTGATAACTGAATTTAATTCATCTTTTTTGTTCACTTGCTTAAACATGAAGGAAGCTCTGCACAACAGCCTCTATACAATCCTCCTGGATTTGAAGGAAATGGGTTTCTAGATTGGTTCACCTAGTGTCTGATACCATATATGAGAAATAGAATTGGAGAAAGAGAATTTGTGTCTCTCACGTATATTAATCATATATATATAGTTACATGTAGGAAACCCTAACCTATTACACAAGATAACTATAATAAATAATATATATATATATATATATATATATATATATATATATATATATATATATATATTTGTTGTCCTTTTTTTTTTATTTTAGGTCTCAAGATTTTCGAAAAGAGTTAAGAACATTTAGAATTGCTTCTAGTTATTTTATTTTGTGATTTTTTTTTTTCATTTTGGCCTCGGATGCATTTTTTTAGTATAATTAATTAAGGATTAAATATTTGTAATATTAAGCTTTATTTGTTTTAATGAACAGACTATGATTATTTATTTATTTATTTATTTTTAAGCTTATTTTGATTTTGAATGAATAGTCTAGATTTTGCGCTTAGAGTGCGAAGTTTTATTTTTAATATTGGACTTAAATATGTCGAGTGCAAAGTTGTAAAATATGTAATTTGTTTATGGCTCGATATAAGCCCGAAGCCCGAAAAAATGCGTGAGCCGAGTTTGAGCCTATAGGCATGAGGCCCGATGGTATTTGAGCTTGAGCCTATAATAATGAGGCCCGATGGTATATGAGCTTGAGTCGACCCAGGCTCGGCTCACACGGCCCGATTGCCAACCCTAATTACACCTATATAAATTAGGGGCCTTGAGATATAGGTCCCTAGTGGCAAAACTTATTAGAACTAAATAACAAGCTCAACTAAACATTTGCTTCACATCCTTTATAAAATTCATTCCAAAAATACCCCTCCACTAACAAATTTAAAATCTTTATTAAGTAATTAAACTGCAATAATTATTTTTTTTATTCTACATTTAATAATTTTATTTTTCCGCATGACATTTCTTTTTTACAGAATACCCAATTGTCTTCTTTTTACTTTCTTTCTTTATTTTAGTATTTTATTGACTATTATAAAAAACTACGTTGTTCTTTTTCCTTTTTTTATACATTTTACAAAAAAATATATTATTTTTCATTTTTTTCATAATTCAATTTATATGTTTTTCATTTTTTTTATTTTTAGTTTATCTTCTATCGGTCACGTAGTCATCTATAGTTACCGTAGTCATTATCGTCGCTTGTAGACTAAAATTTGAACTCCACTTCGACGTACATCCTTTGTCTGTTCATATACACTACAACAATCTGTAGTAGACCATGATATACTTGGTGTACTATGGTTTACTACGGTATACTATTTCGAACCCTAGCCGCGAACAACTTGCAGTCCTCGCTAACCCTAGCTGTAAATGCAGCCGCCGCGAAATTATAGCAGCCAACAGCCGCAGTCACCACCTTTTGAAAAACCTAGATCCGCGACGAACTCCACCTATGAAAACGAATCTTCAAAATCCCATAATCCTCGAACCTTTCATCATCTTCCTCTTCGTTACGAAACCTAGATCTGCCATCATATCCCTCACTGCCATAACCATCGCCCCCCATATCGCCATAACCACCCCACCATAAATATATCAAGCTCTCTAAATTTAAAAAAATAAATAAATAAATAAATAAATAAATAAATGAAAAACCTCTTATTGAAAGAACGGCAGAAGCTCGGTTTTATCATTTCCATGGTGGTAGTTATGCTATAAATCTCGACCGCACACAAATTCACTCTACAACATCGTCGCATCAGATTCATCCGGCAATGAAGCGGGTCTTCTCTTCTCCACTCACTGCCTCATCCATTTGCCGTCCGTCATTCTCGATAGCAAAACCCAGCGTCGTTGCCGTCAATCCCAGATCTAACATATCCTCTCGATGTGAAAGAGACCACCACTACAGAAAAAGAGAAAAGAGAGAGAAGAGGGTGGGGCGGTTGAAGAAGAGAGAAACCCAGGGTAGGCGGCGGTTGAAGAAGAGAGTGGGGAAAGAGAGAGAAAAAAGAGAAAATATAGAGAAACGTGATTTTTTTATTAGGTATATCAAGGGTATTTTTGGGTTAAATAAAAATAAAAGGATGTGGGTCAAATTAAATTTTCAAATAAGGATTTAGTTAAAACATTCTATTTGAGGTTGTGCCTCACATCTAATTATGTTTGGTTTTAGGGGTGTCTTCAATATTAACCCTATAAATTAATAAAGTTAGAGCCAGCCAAATTCTAGTAATTAATAAAATATTTATTTTAGCACATTGTTCTTGAATTGGAACCGAAAAAAGTATTATTTAAACAAAATTATTATTATATCAAATATTAATTTTATCGAGGGTCTACTGTATAGAAGTAAGAAACCTAATTGGTTTTAGCATATTTGATTATTTCCCTTTTCCTTTTTTTTTTGAGGGATTATTTCCCACTCCTTTGTTTCACCATATTTAAGTACTTGCGCCGTACCAGCCAAACACGCCTTAAGAAAAAACTCCAAAAAAACCTGACACGATCCAAGAAAAGCATCAGCAGCCACTTCAGTTCCCACACGTGTCCCCCAAACGTGTCCCGTATCTTTCAAAGCCAAGTATCTAAGTCAAATCCAACGCGCACATTCCCGCCACGTGTCCCCTGAAATATCCTCCCTTATAGTAGTAGTATCATTTTTATATCAACCAACACAATTCAAAATATGCCCCCATTTTTCAGTTAAACAAGAGAAAACACAATTAAAATTATTTTCCTTTTCCCTTTAGCCCAACAAATGATTCAAAGATTCGACCGGACCGATCGCCGGATTCTTGATTTACCGGCGGTCCATCCCTGCGAGGGAATATCTCCGGCGACCCTTCTCGAATCCCTAATCAAACTTTCCCACACAATCATATCCAATTACCAATCAAAATCCTTCCCCACACAGAGAAAAAACGCCCGCGAAACAATCCGACAAATTTCGATTTTATCAATATTTTTCGAGGAGATTAAGGAACAGATTCCGGAAATATCGGATTCAATCGCGCTCTGCTTGTCGGAGCTCCACATCACCTTCCAAAAGATCCGTTTCCTGCTGGAGGATTGCAGCCGAGAAGGCGCGAAAGCCCTAATCCTGATGAAATCGAATTCGGTTTCGACCCATTTCCAAACCCTAACTCGGGTCATCGCAACCACACTGGATATTCTCCTCCCTCTGAACTCGATCGGAATCTCGCCGGAAATTACGGAGCTGGTGCAGATGCTGTCCACGCAAGCAAGGCGGCCGGGGTTAATGGACACCGACCCGCGAGACGAAGCCGCGTTGAGGGGAGTGATTCTAGTCCTGAACCAGTTCGAGAACCGGTTCGAACCCGACCCGTTTACGACCCGGAGAATCTTGGCACATTTAGGCATCAGAACGTGGTCGGAGTGTCGTAAAGAGACCCGGTTCTTGGACGAACGGATACGGGCCGAGCCCGACGAGAGAGAGGTTCCGTTGTTGAGCGGTTTGCTCGGGTTTCTCAGCTACTGCAGAGGGGTTTTATTCGATGACTGCGATTTTAATGATCACAATTCGGATGGGAGAAGTGATCGCGGTTTCGAAGCGATTAGTTTCTTGAGTTTCGAGGATTTTCGATGCCCGATTTCGCTCGAGTTAATGACCGATCCGGTGACTGTGTCGACCGGGCAGACGTACGACCGTGTCTCGATTCAGAAATGGCTGAAACAGGGGAGTTTGCTCTGTCCTAAAACGGGGGAAAAGCTCAAAACCGCGGATTTAATCCCGAACACGAATCTTAAGAAGCTAATTCAACGATTCTGCACCGAGTACGGCGTCTCGATTGCGAAGTCGAGGAAGAAAAATCGGGATTTATCGAGCACAATTCTGCCCGGGAGTCCGGCGAATGCGGAAGCTATCAAATTCCTGTCGGAATATCTCGTTTTGAGCTTAGGTTACGGTACGGATCATCAAAAGAATAAAGCAGCCTACGAAATTCGATTGCTCGCGAAATCGAATATTTTTAACCGGGCCCGTTTGATCGAATCGGGCTCGGTCCCACCACTACTCGAAATGTGTAACAATCCGATGTTGCAAGAAAACGCGGTTTCTGCCTTGCTGAAGCTGTCGAAGCAGCCGAGCGGACAAACATCGATACTCGAAAACAGTGGATTGAATCCGATAATCGAAGTGCTTAAAAACGGGGTTAGTCAAGAATCCCGACAAACTGCAGCTGCCGTTATATTTTACCTATCTTCGGTGCACAAATACCGTAGAATAATCGGCGAACACGATGGAATATTCCCTTCCTTGTTGGAGGTAGTGAAAAACGGGACGGCTTGCGGGAAGAAAAATTCGGTGGTCGCAATTTTCGCGCTACTTTTCCACCACAAGAATCGGACTAGGGCAATCGAAGCAGGTGCGGTGTCGACACTATTGAACCTTCTAGAAGCTTCTCCCGATAAACCCGAGCTGCAGACGGATGCTTTGGCGGTTCTATCCGCATTGGCCGATTCAGTTGACGGATCGGTCGAAATAGTACGCGCTTCCTCTTCGGATTTATCTTTGATCTTGAGATGCTTGCAAAATGTGGAAACGCGTGCCGGAAAAGAATATTCCGTTTCGATTCTTCATTCTTTGTGCCTCAATTGCGGGGACGATGTTCTCGACGTGCTATCGAAGGAAGCCTCGCTTATGTCGGTGCTGTATTCGCTTCTGACCGAAGGCACTTCGCACGCCGGTAGAAAAGCGCGGTCGCTTATTAAGATACTGCAGAAGTTTTGCGAGACGAGATTGTCTAGTATGATCGGGGAGGTCGGGCGCGAACAACGATTTGTCAATGTTCGGTGAATTTTGCGAAAAAAAACCCGTTAAAGATTCGATTTCGTGTTTTACGCGAATATTCGATTGTTTTGTTGTGTAGTGTATGTATAGATAGGTTGATTGATTTGTTGAGGTGGTTAGCTCGAATTTTTTTGAGAGCTAATTAGTACCTATGTAGAGATACAGATATGTGTATGTATCAAATTCTTTTGCTGTAATGAATATTGAATACAGTGTGAGATTATATATATGTTTGGAAAATTACCAAATAGAACTTTTGTGATAGTAATATTGATTTTTATTTATTTATTTTTATTTTTTATAATAAGATAAAAAGTTGTTGATTTAAAAAAAAAATGTGGAATTTTGACAAGACATGAATTTCACTAGCATGTTTTGCAGATAGGCTTTTTATTACCAGAAAAAAATGTTATGGATAATCAATACATATTGCTTTGTATTAGAAATGAGAAAAAAGATTATTCCAAATATTGAAGTAGATTAATGATTATATCAAATTTGTAAGTTTGAGAAACTGTATGTTAAGAGCTCGTTTGGCGGGGGAGATTAGATTAGTTAGTGTAAACTAACTAATTGAATTTTATTTGATGTTTGATATACTCAGTAACTTACCAGATCGACCAGGAAATACTATGTTATCGTGGCTTATTTCAGTTATTAAAGAGTTTTTTATGGACCGATAATATATGAGACTATTTAATAAAACCCCCTCATTGAATTTTGACTTCTTGGTAAATCCATTTTTTATAATCAAAATATTTGACATAAATTTAATCAACCCAAAATACCTTGTATGCACACTAACTATTACAATAAATAAAAAAAAAAAAAATCTGTTCATAAATGCAGATCTTCCCCTAATTAATAGCAACAAAAAATCCTCCCAAAAATTCTACCCCCAAATTACGCTCCAAATCTAGTCGAAAATTATCGTTTGTCCACCGTTTACACCAAGCCCACCCAACAATGGAGATTGTTGTTCTAAAGAAAGAAACGAATTAGAGACTAAAAATATTTTTTTAGAAAACCACAGTTATTCGTAATTGAGCACGGCAAGATGGTTCAAAAATCAGCTGCGGAAATTAATTAATTAATGTCCTGTGTTTGTTGATTTAAATCGATTAGTTGAAAATTGCAATTAATTTACATGATTGTTCTTCGTTTATTCTGTATGTGATTCTCGCCATTCCCAAATTAAATTTTTCCAGGAAGGAGAAAATCAAAGACACATTAAAATCACTCTGTATAAACATGTGTATTAACATGAAAACCACTCAGTATAACAGCTATGTAAACATGAAAACCACTCTGTATAATTACAAATTCGCCTTAGACGAAACAGTGACGAGTGACTTTGGGCGCCACTCATGTTGGATAAGCGCACTTGCCTTTCAAAAGTTGTTCAATCGTGCCTTCACAGTGGTCAACGAGTCCAACGAATGCTGAGTTCCCACAGTTATGGTGTTCTCATTGCTCGAGAAGCTATCGGTAACCTCTGCACCAACTGCAGTATTTGTCACTGGAGTCACTGAGTCTGTGTGGTAGTACGATGCGCTCAAGCTATCACCCTTGTCATTCCTAAACCCAAAGAAAACAGTTCAAAAATCTATGGACCATAACAAGTCATTAGAGAGAGAAGTTAAGAACATGTTATTTAAGATATATATGGCGAAAGACATTGTATATCTTTTAATATCAAAATTAAATATAAATTATTTTTTAGTTAGGATTATAATGGTGATAATTAAGTGTTCTTAATTAATAAAAGTTTATTTAGATTTATCTTAAAAACATAGAATAAAATTGGTCTCTTTGTAATGACATTTGTGTAATGGAGGGCTTTTGTCTAATTTTTTCATAACATAATCGGGTTTCATTAGATTATTTGATTTTATCTTAGTTAGGTGGTGTTTGCAAATGTTTTTTGAAAGTGATTATGAACTTCTTTTTTTTTGCTCATAATCTGTTATCAGGTGTTTGCAAAATCAACTTTTGTTTTTGCTTCTTTTAAAATAATCTGCTTTAAGTTATTTTATAAAAGCACCCCTAACCCTGCTATTTCTATTTAAGTTCATTTTCCGAAATAATTGCAAACACCCCCAACTTTTAGAAATAAACACTTAAAACTGGCTTAACTCACAATCACTAACTTCTGCTTTTAAATAATCATTTGCAAACACCGCCTTAATCTTATATCATCAACCAAACGAGTCCTTAGAGAACTTTAATTAGGTCGAGATTGACATTGATCGGTTTATTTTCCTAATCTATCTATGGTATAAAGCAAAGATCGAACTTTTTGAAGACGACGACGAGTTTGAAATTGATCAAGGTATATATTTGCTTCATACATTGTTTACTGCATTTAAGGGGCTTGTTTTCCTGTTAGAATTTGTTCATTGCTCTGTAAATTCTTGTTTGGGGGTATTTAAAGGCTCTCTACAAACAACGTTTTCGAGTTTTGATTTTCGATTTTTGGAGATATATCCGCAAATGTTGCATGTCTTCAATAGATCAATTTTTGGAGATTATATGCCTTCGGCATTGTTTTAATTTTGCCCTTTTTCACATTTGTATCGGAGGTCCCCATTGTTTTATAGATTCGATGATAGCAATAACACTACGTTAGCAGTCGACAGACAGATTTTCGTACAGTTCTTTGTTTCTTTCGTGCCGAGAAATATGAGATTTTCGGAAACCGTGATCTCTACAGCATAATAGTCGTAAATCAGCTTTTTTTTTTCTTTCTTAAATTGGATAATCGTTTCTTTCGGTTAGTATTGGATCGATTGTTTTATTTTGAATTAGTAAAATTTCTAATGTTAGCACTTTAGCAGTAATTATATGCCTAATGGAATATATATTCGAGCTAGTTGAATCAACTTAGCATAGATCACTTTAACCACGATAAAAATTTGCAGAATTAAAAAATCGTGTGTTATGATTGGTTTGTAGTACTTAATAGTGGAAATAAAAGATTACGGGGTTACGGGGCCAGTGCCCCCGAAATATTTTATGAAATGTATGAATATAAAATAACTTAAAATATGAAAAAAAAATCAAAATTAACAGGATGATTTGCTGGTTCACTTCACCCCGTGACGTATAATCTTAATAGCAAATAGACTTTATAAATATTTATAAAACTTAAACACACTAATAAATATTGATTCTTATTTTAGGTATAAAATAAATAATTAAAACATTATAAATTTAATATGTAGGGACCCAGAGGTTAAGAATATTGTAAAAATATCTATTGATCATATATTTTAAATATATTTCAGAAATGATGTTCCAAAATATTGTACATAATAAATTTTAAAAAATAAGTATTGATATATAAAGTATATATGTAAAATAATTTGGGGCCCTAAATTTTCGTAAAAAATCCGGGAGCCCTAGGCGAAACCGGCCCTATTGTTAGGAGGAAAATCAGATCTTAACGGGTACTTTTCTTTTCCTTCTCTAATCTGATTATCTATTGAGTTTTATGTTGACTGCAGTCAACAATATATTATGACCTCATTTGGGAATATGATTTATAGACAATATAATCAAATTGTGTCAAATATTTGAGGTTTAAGTTTGAAGTCCGTGATTACAAAACGTGTTTGAAATATAATTAAGCATATGATGATATTTAGAAAACATCTTATATAAGATGCTTTAGAGCTTATAAGTTATTTAAAAGTGTTTGGTGAAAAAATTAGAAAAAATCTTACTTTTTTTTTAAAATAAGCTGTCAGCGAGCTTAGGACCGGTCCCATGGCCTCGGAGTCCCGAGGCGAGAAACGAAAATGAGGCCCTCTTAATTACCAACTTTATTTTGACTTATCAACTCACCATAAGTCCACAACTTCATCTTCAACATATTTTTGCAAGATAATCTATTTAAATTTAAGAGCTCCGTTTGTGATTTTTTTTCATATCCCAACTCAAACTTTTCTATTGCTCATTGTGTCGATAGATACTCAACGTATGAAATTCTTAAATATACAATATAATACAAAAGAGCCAAAAAGTAATTTTTTTTTTTCTGAAATGAATTACACGGCAGTAAAATTACGAATGTCGTTCACAATAGCATTTTCTTTCTCTCTCTAGAAACTCCCCAATTCACTCAAACCCCAAAACCACCAAACCCCCCACTGCATGTCAAATGGAGGCAGTGGACAATTATCATTCAACTTAACATACACAAAATGACTCCCTTCCGCCAGGTATACAATGGTCATCTCGTGCGATAGTTGTGAAACACCAACGGGGGAGAAAAGCGGCAAATAAGTCTGATTTCCCGAACTGCTTGTCGACAACACCAAAGCATTGTAACATGTTGCTACCACCACTCCCACATCCGTAATAGTCATCCATTTATTTAGCGGTGCCGGTCCATTTTGCCAATGTGGCACACTTGTCATCACTTGATATATGTAATTCCCGCCACCATAGTAGTCCTTGAAAAACTCTTCATTATTTCTGAGAAAATTATAAACATCCAATCTAACATCATTCCAATTCTCCTCGTCGCCCTTGACTGCACATGCAACAGACCGGTATCCGCAATTACCATCGCCTAACACGTTTTTCCACGTCACATCATCGGGTACAAGTGCAAAATGTAGATTCCGGATAAACTCAGGTTGGACAATTCGTTCCGGTTCGGGCTCACTTACAGTAGATGAACGGCCTCGACTACGATTTCTGCTAGATGAATCAGAAGGTGTCCCATGACCTCTACTGGCTCAACGACCTCTACTACCTCTTGGTCGAGGTTCCCACGCTGACAATTCTCTCTGTGTGGAGTTGTTCCTTGGTCTGCCTCTTAGTCGTTGTACTGACGGCTCATTTAATTCCGTCTCTCCGGGGTGTGCCTTTCAAAAACTATGTCCGCCACATCATTAATCTCAACGTCAGAATGTTGACGCAATTCATTAACCAATCCTTCTAATCTTCCAAGTGCTTGTGTCCTATGATCGGGGATTGAATCAACACTCTCTGCTTGATTGCCATCCAACAAAATCATGGTCCTCCAAAATTTATGGACATCTTCTGCATAAAACACACCACCATGTCTACTCTCTTTAAGATCAATGTCATATTTGCAAGGGAGACCATGAGTGTTCTTCAAGTAACAATTGCAATTCTCGACATTTTTTTCACGCTCAACGTCAAAAAGAAGGGCCGCATGCGTGACTATTCCGGAAGATAAAATCCTAAAAATGGGTACATTGATAGTCTTCGCTCGGATCCTCCGTGATTTGCCAAATGTTTTCAGAATCTGATTAAGTTGAATAATCATCTGTGAGTGATATTGTGCCCAAAAGGTGTCAAATCCACCGGTGGACGACGACAACCAATCCTTTACTGCTTTATGACCGCTCTCAACCCTAATTAGTGAACATAGGAAATTTTTTAATTCACAAGTAATATTAAATTACGATTTATATTACACAAGTAATATTAAATTACCTATTTGTCGAGGTATTGCCGAGGTGGAATATACAATCTGTCCATGCACGAACAACCTATCTTTGTATATGAGCCAAGTCGTTTCTAGGTACTCGAATAGATCCGGATTATTTCTATATTCATCGACCATCGCCGCAAGGTTACTTTCGTATTGTGCAACAGATAGTGAAGTTACAACTCTTTGCCAAACCTCACGAACGAAGGTAATTCCTCGAAATTTACTATTACCCAAGCATTGTGCAGAACGACGACCCACATTCCTATTGATATGGAATGTGCATAAAAGATGATATGACTATGGGAACACATTCTCTAACCCCTTTATCAAACCCAATTCCCTATCAGTCACAACGACCCCCGGTACATTGTTTGGGAGGTGTAGCTTTCTCAAATTGTTCAACGCCCATGTATAATGCTCTTCATTTTCATGGCGCATAAATGCCACTGCAACAGTAAAGTTCAGACCCTCGTAGCAAACACCAATAATCTCCAACAAAGTATTTTGTACATATTTGTTTTGTACGTACAGTCAAACAGCAAAACGTATGGAAACAATCTCAACATTTCGACCGACTGAGGGTGAGCCCACATCAGATCAATAATTTCATGCGTAGTTAGATCAGTGCGGATCCACTTATAATACTTATGTTCCTCAAGCAACCCAACCAAATGTGGCATAATTGTATGCCCGTCTCTAGCCTCCTTTTTCATTTTCGCCTTTTCATTGTATATTTGTTTCAAATGCACATCTTGTGCCAAGTTCTTCTCTTTCAAATGTATTAAAATCTTCTTCGGCGGCACATGACTTTTTGCCAACATCCGAGTAATTTCCACCTCCTCTTCAGTCATTTTTGTAGACCCATGCCCAAACAAATGTACGGGATCATGATTATGCTTCCCATATAATATTCTAATTCCCCATCTATCCCCGTAATGTTGCTCTCCCACCAAGTAAAATTTACAATTAATTTTCTTTGTGCCCGACCATCTCTTCTTTGGCACATCTGTGTCCGTTTTACTTTGTCTCTTCACCCCAAATAGATCACAAGTAAGATATGCTCTATTTGAAAGGCTACTACGGCTCACCAACTTTACACCAAGATTCTTGGCGGTCGTTCTCTCCCATTCTACCATCTCAATTATCAGAGTTAAAAAGTTTCGATACTGTAAAATGCTCACTATGATCAACTTCAAACGTAGAAGAATTTTGTTGTTGCTCTTCCTGAAATAATTATGAATAAGATAAGGTTAGAGTAATAACAATAACAATAAAAAAAAATGAGAAAAAAAAAAGTTGTGCGCGCCTAAACCGGACGTCGGAATCGGTTTTGCGCGCCCAAACCGGACGCGGGTGGCGGGTTTCAGCGTCCAAACCGGACGCGGGTAGTGGTTTCGCGCGACCAAACCGAGCGCACGGAGTACTTGTCCGCTTCCGAACCGGGCGCGGGAAATACTTCTGAGCGCCCGAACCGGGCGCCGAATACCGGACCGTGCGTCCGGTTTGGGCGTGAATCTAGCTGTTTCGCGCCCAGTTTAGTCGTGAAACCTATTTTTGGGCGTTCAAATTGGTCGTGGGTCGCGTTTTAGCGATTTAAAGAACAAAAACGAACAAATTTTTCCTCATTGGATCCGTATCTCGATCCTCATTCGATGCACTCATTTTGTTTTTGCAAATGGCTACAATAACATGAGTTTTGGAATGATTTCTAATATAAAAGCTAAAATTGTAGAGAGAAAAAGAAAGATAGAGAGTGGATTTTTTAAACCCGTATTCGTAATTTGCTACCGCGAATAGTACCTCCCATTTTTTTTTATCGGATTAGAAATGAAAGAATCAAATAATAACATATAAAATTAATTTTTTTCTTAGCTTGCCAATCAACAAAGAAGAAAAAAAAGGAGGGATATTAAAAAAAATTAAAAAGAAAAAAAGGAAACTAAAAAGAAAAAAAAGAGAGGGAAATTAAAAATAAAATTAAAAAAAGAAAAAAAATAAACGAATCAAAGAAAGAGAAAGATAGAATGGCAACTTTTAGAATTTAGACGATCGGTCGAACACGCGACAGAGAAAACTATTGAGTAGAATATAGCAAACTATGTTAAAGGCAATTCTTGTGAAAATTTTGTAGTTCAATAATTATATACGCATTTCAAAAATTGGAGGCCCTAAAAGTGTTGTTTTTCGGAGGCCCAAGGCGACGGTCTTGCTCGTCTTGGGCCTGGGCCGGCCCTGAGCGAGCTTAAAAGATGTTTTTAAAAAAGTTCCCCACTCAAACTTTTTTCTTTAAGATCTTATTTGATTATTTACTAAAACACTCAAAATACAAAATTACCCTCAAATACTTTATTATATTACATGAATACTAATAACATTTATATTTTATCAAAACAATGTATTCTTGTAATCAAAATTAATTATTAGTTAAAATATAATTATTGTTATAGAATATTATATATTATATACTAATACAAGACAAAGTAAGAATAATATATGTACAGTAATCGAAAGCAAAAGAGAACTACAGAATATAAAAATGAGAGATGAGAGCTTTCTTTGGTAATCAAAGTTGTGTCTCTATTAATTGGCAGAATGGTCCTATTTATACATAAATGGTAAAAGCCTTGTCCTGCTAAACTATTAACACGTAGCAAGACTTGCACTCCAAGTAGTAGCAAGCCTTATCAAACAATTACTAGATATATATTACAAAACTTAGTCACTAAGTAATTAAATAATTATTACAATACTCCCCCTTGACTAAGTATGTTGTTGTCGCGTCGGCTGTAAAATTGGATGAGTGAAATATATGTATGTCTCGTCAAAAATCTCAAGCCGGAAAACCCAATGGGAAAAAAACCGGTCATAAGGGAAAAATAGTGCATAACTCAATCCAAGCCGTGTGCATAAACTGCCTCGTTAAAAACCTTTGCTGGAAAACCTTGTGGGATAAAACCAGTCATAAGGAAAAAAGAGTGCAGCGCACCATTGCTCCCCCTGAAATGAGCGATATAGCTTCTGAGATGGGCCATCAATCTTGCTTCATATTGGCTCTTCGCATTCCAATATTGTATACCAATTTCTCAAATATAGAAGTCGGTAAGGACTTTGTAAATAAATCAGCAAGATTGTCACACGAGCGAATTTGTTGGACATCAATTTCTCCATTCTTCTGAAGCTCGTGTGTATGAAAGAACTTTGGTGATATGTGTTTGGTCCTATCACCCTTTATATATCCGCCTCTTGTTTGTGCTATACAAGCAACATTATCTTCATAAATGATAGTGGGCGTATTTGTAACTGGATTTAATTGGCAGGAATTTCGTATATGTGATATGACTGATCTTAACCAAATACATTCTCTGCCAGCCTCATAAAGTGCTATTATTTCAGAATGATTTGAGGAGGTGGCTACCACGTTTGTTTGGTAGATCTCCAAGATATACCTGCACCATTGTAACAAAACAAATATCCAGTTTGTGAGCGAGCTTTGTGGGGATCAGATCTATATCCCGCGTCGGAATAACCAACTAACCCTTGGTTAGTTGCATTTTCGAATAAAATAATCCCAAATCTGCAGTACCACGGAGATATCGAAAAATATGTTTAACACCATTCCAGTGTCTCCGTGTAGGCTCAGAATTGTATCGCGCGAGCACATTTACCGCAAAAGCGATATCAGGTCGAGTGCATTGTGCTAGATACATTAATGCTCCGATAGCATTAAGATACGGCACTTCTGGCCAAGTATCTCTTCATTAAGTTCTTTAGGTCGGAACGGATCCTTTTCAGGATCTAAATTGCGCACAACCATAGGGGTGCTCAATGAATTAGAATTTTCCATATTAAACCTTTTGAGTACTCGGTTAGTATATGCAGATTGGTGTATAAGTATGCCGTTATTTTTATACTCAAGCTCAATACCAAGACAAAGTTTGGTTTTACCAAGGTCCTTGACCTCAAACTCTTTCTTTAAATATTCAGCAGCATTGGCCAACTCTTCAGGAGTGCCAATGAGGTTCATGTCATCTACATAAACCGCAATAATAGCAAATCCGGTTTCTGATCGTTTAATAAAAACGCATGGGCAAATAGGATCATTTTTATAACCTTCCCTGATAAGGTATTCACTTAATCTATGATACCACATGCGACCGGATTGCTTTAGACCATACAATGATCTTTGTAATTTGATTGAGTGCAGCTCACGAGGAGCGCTAGAGTTTGGCATTTTAAATCCATCGGGAATTTTCATATAAATATTGGAATCTAGTGAACCGTATAGATAGGCTGTTACAACGTCCATTAGACGCATATCCAGTCCCTCTTGGACGACCATATTTATAAGGAAACGAAAAGTGATCGTATCCATCACTGGTGAATACGTCTCATCATAATCAATACCAGGCCGCTGGGAAAAGCCTTGAGCTACAAGGCGGGCTTTATATCGTACAATTTCATTGTTCTCGTTCCTCTTACGGACAAATACCCATTTATACCCAACGTGCTTGACATTATCCGGAGTTTGAACAATTTGTCCGAATACTTTTCGTTTTTCTAGGGAAGCCAATTCAGATTTTATTTTTCCTCCCATTTATGCCAATCGTTTCTTTGGCGGCATTCCATTATGGAACGCGGTTCACTATCATAATCATCGTACATAATTTCTTGTGCAACCGAGAATGCAAAAATATTATCGATGATTATCTCATTTCTATCCCATATTTCATTGCAATAACTTATGGGATTCTCGGTATTCCCGGGATTTGATATTACTTTAACGATATCAGGCTCAACAGATTCATCTGGAGCATTCTCACTAGGAACCACTTGGTTCGAGGGTTCATCGATTTTCCCCTTTCTTTTTCTAGGAACAACGTCCTTCGATCCAATAGGTCTACCCCGTTTTTGTCGTGGGAGGTCATCATTCATTTTCGCATGTTCTTGAGGAACATCGATCCTAGCAGGAACATTCACAGCTGGAATATAAGACTTCGTAACTTTACTGGCATCATTAAATGCATCAGGAAGTCTATTGGCAATATTTTGTAAATGAATGATTCTATGGATCTCATTTTCACATTCAGAGGTACGTGGGTCTAGATGAGATAAATGTTGCTCATACCAAGTGAGATTCTCGATTGGTTTTTGTTTATCATTATCAATGATATTCTTATATTTACCAATCAATGGAAATACAGTCTCATCAAAATGACAATCCGCAAATCTAGCGGTAAATAAATCACCCGTCATTGGTTCCAAGAACCTAATAATTGACGGTGAATCAAACCCAACGTATATGCCAAGTCGGCGTTGGGGACCCATTTTAGTCCTCTGAGGGGGAGGAATTGGCACTTGCACAATGCAACCAAATGTGCGAAGGTGCGAAATATCGGGCTCAAAGCCTAATGCCAATTGCATTGGGGAATGCATATGATAAGCAGTGGGGCGTAATTTAATCAGTGCTGATGCATGCAATACTGCATGGCCCCATGCTGCACTAGTGAGTTTAGATCTCATCAGCAAAGTACGAGCAATTATTTGGACGCGTTTAATCAGAGATTCCGCCAGTCCATTTTGAGTGTGAACGTATGCTACTGGGTGCTCGACATTTATTCCCAGTGCTGCACAGTACTCATCAAAAGTTTTTGATGTAAATTCTCCGGCATTATCCATCCTTATATTTTTATGGGATAATCAGGGAAATGTGCTCGGAGTTTAATAATTTGTGCTAGCAAACGCGCAAATGCAACATTTCGCGTAGATAATAAGCATACGTGGGACCATTTACAAGATGCGTCCACCAAAACCATAAAATATCTAAATGGCCCACTTGCAGGGTGTATTGGTCCACAAATATCACCATGAATACGTTGTAAAAACGACGGTGATTCATAACTGACCTTTTCAATGGAAGGTTTTATAATGAGCTTTCCCTGTGAACATGATTCGCAGAAATATTCATTGGACATTAAGATCTTTGTATCTTTTAATGGATGTCCCTTAGTATGTTGTACAATCCTACGCATCATAGTCGTTCCTGGGTGACCCAGTCGATCATGCCATAATCCGTGTATATTGGGATTAACGAGTTTCCATGGCATAGTGGCATAGGATTCGAAAGCTCTAATTTGGAAACAATACACTCCAGAAGCTGTTGCTTCGAGTTTTTCATGAACAATTCTTTTGTCCATAACATATGATGTGATGCAGAGACACTCCACGGTATTTTCAACTAGTGTCTCTAAATGATATCCATTACGTCTCACATCTTTAAAACTCAGTAGATTCTTATTTGATCTACCTGATATCAATGCATTTTCAATATGCAAAGTGGTACCATTAGGCAATACAATTGTTGCGTTCCCGGAGCCATCTATTATTTCCGCGGAACCTGCTATGGTTTTAACTTGTGCCTTGCACAATGTCACACTCGAGAAATATATTTTATTATTGAATATTGAGTGTGTAGTTGCACTATCGAGTAGACAATTTTCTCTTTTGTCGATGTTCTCCATGTTTGCCTAAATTAAATAACATAAAATTAATATTGAATCGTAGCATAGTTTGCAAATGATATGATAACAAACTCATAACTTTATACATAGTCAAAATATCAGCTCAACCTTGGGAACATAACTTCCAAGGGAGATATGTACATGGATACATAAAAGGCAAACTAGCTCAATCTCGGGTACTATATCATCCGAGAGAGATATATACAAAATATACATAGTGTGTACAAAATAACCCAAAAGATATGCTCATTTGGCAATTTACACAGGAGGGTCAAGATCTGTAAAGGAATCTGATAACTCAAGGCTCCATTTTGAGCAGGATCTTGATCAAGCATGCTCCCAGATGTGCTGGCTTCAAGAACAGTAAGTGGCATTTCTGCCTCAGTGACATTTGCCTGGACATTTTTTCGTTTGTCTCTTTTTGAATCCTGGTACAGATTTACCAGATGTTGGGCGGTTCTACAAACTTTGGCCCAGTGTCCAGTCATTCCACATCTAATACACATATTTTCTGGAATTCTTTCCGCGGGCATCTTGTCTTTATCGCGTTTTGCCTGAAATGGTTGTCTCTGCCAGACCGTATTATTATTATTATTTCGACGGGGATATTCATATCCACCACGGTCATTATTTCGGGCATCTTGAGGGGGACCACGTCCACCACCTCTGCGTGCACCACGCCAGAATCTACGCCCACGGCCTCTAAATCGGCCCATATTTCTATTTTGATTAGCATGTGCTTCAGGCACAGCTTGGGACCCACATGGTCGCAAATCATGATTTTTCAACAGCAATTCATTTGTTTTTCTGCCGTGAGGAGTACAGAGATCAACTCCGAATATGTTTTAAACTGGCGCTGCCTATATTGCTGTTGGAGCACCAAGTTCGAGGCATGCATAGTTCAAAAAGTTTTTTCCAATTTATCATATTCGGATATTTTAACTCCAGACAAGGCTAATCGGGACTCAAGTTTAAACAGTGCCGAATTATAGTCGGCAACAGATTTGAAGTCCTGCAGCCTTAGGTGCTGCCAATTGTATTGGGCTTGTGGGAGAATGACAGTTTTTGTGTGATCAAACCTTTCTTTGAGTTTTTGCCATATCTCTGATGGCCTTTCAAGTTGTATATATTCATCTTTCAAATCCTCGGAAAGATGATGGCGGATAAAAATCATAGCATTTGCCTCATCTTTCCTGTTTGCCTCCTTGATATCTACACAATCCAAGGCTTTTACAAGATCTAGCCCTTGGAGGTGTAATTTGATATCTAAGCACCAGGATAAAAAGTTACTGCCGGTAACATCAAGGATTTGAAATTTTTGTTTTTCGATTCCGGCCATCGTAAAATAAAATAAGTAAAAAGTAGTACAACAAAAAGAAATATAAATTTACAAACCTATAATTTTGTAGAGCGAAAGCTCGTGCTGATAACGTGTTATAGAATATTATATATTATATACTAATACAAGACAAAGTAAGAATAATATATGTACAGTAATCGAAAGCAAAAGAGAACTACAGAATATAAAACTGAGAGATGAGAGCTTTCTTTGGTAATCAAAGTTGTGTCTCTATTAATTGGCAGAATGGTCCTATTTATACATAAATGGTAAAAGCCTTGTCCTGCTAAACTATTAACACGTAGCAAGACTTGCACTCCAAGTAGTAGCAAGCCTTATCAAACAATTACTAGATATATATTACAAAACTTAGTCACTAAGTAATTAAATAATTATTACAATAATTATCATAATAATTGTAAAAAAAATTGTTTTCTATTTACATTTTATATGTATATTAAAACACCCGAATATTCTTATTATCTAAATAACAAATTATATTTCTTTACATAATAAAAAGAATTACATTTCTTTTACTACCTTTATTTTATATTATTATTTTATTTGAAAAAATTAATTTGTAAATATTATAATAATATTTAGGAAAGCATTTGAGTCAAATAAGTTTAACAGTTATATGACGTCATTTACTTTTTTTGTCATTATAGCGATAAACATACATTTTATTTCCAAACATCTAAACAAATTATAAAAACTAAAAATAGCTTATAAGCTACATATCCAAACACCTGAAAAATTAATTTAAAAAAAAGATCTAACAGCTTATCGGATCCTAAAACATCTTATCAGATGTAGGAATTTGTAAAATGGTTTTAATAAGCTTAGTCAGATAGGCTCTTAGTCCAATCACAACCACAATTATATTTATTTTGAATGACTTTAATTTACATTCACCCAAAAAAAGACACAAAATAAAAAGAAAAATTTAAATATTAAAATAAAATTACGTCAAACATATTTTCCAACCATGAACTGAATGATATTATACTCAGAGATATCTATCACATAGATTTGACCATGTTTTATGTTTGTAAAAAGTTATTTAAAATTAAAAGTCGGTAATTGTGTGTTAAGTTGGTATTAAACATTTTGATGATGCTACAGTTAGATTACCTTAGATAGTTGAAGTAGAAAGAGCTGGGAGAGCAAACTAGGTCCCGTGCTTACGAGCTAGATGGTCCTGAAGCACTCTAATTAACTCAACAATCCTGCGAATAGAAAACAAGTAATCTAAGCCGGGGTTGATCCGGCGGAAACCCCTTCGATGCTCAAGTCAGACGTGCGGATAGTTGATAATTGTAGAGAGAATTCAAATAGAAGAATTGATTTAATAATAATAGTGTACCTTCATTAAATGAATTGAAGTTCTATTTATACTTTATTGATTGGGTCGAGATCAATTTATCGGGCCCAGTCTTATTTGGATGTGATTGGGCCTCCGTAGAAATAGCTATTAAACTGGACCTGTGGCCCAGTAAATATGGATCTATTGAGCTGGGCCAATAAGCATATTATTAAGCCTCCACTCTCGAATTGATGTGGGAGCAAATTGGAGAGAGGTACCGAATCGTGTCGAGAGTAGACTTGTATCCTGATCCTCTTGTTTGTGTCGTGGACGAAGGGATAGTAATAAAATTTTATTATTATTTTGCGGTCTGGATTGGTGAGCGGATTTATATTTAAGGTGCTTAAATATAAATTTTTGCCTTGTTGTAAATTATTCCTTGTGTAATCAGTAGGGAGGAGTTTCAAGATTCACGTCGAATAAATATGGGTGAGTAACCAATTTTTTTATATCCCCGTACTATATTTATTTTTCTCTATATACTCCATTGTAGAAAAGAATATATTCTCTGGCTGAGAAGACCATCAGATAAAATAATTTATATGATCGAAGCGGGGAAGGCGAAACAATTGAAAATTATCTTGCGAAAGTCGATTCGAGATAGCAAGATGACCTTTGGAACCGTAGGAAGGTGATTGGGTCGAGTTCCGGTAGTAGGCCAAGCCGCGCGACTTGGCTCCGCACGACTTGGAGCCACGCGTTTGGTGTGTGAGGGGGGAGCCATGCACGGAGCCCGGAGTAGGGGGTGGGGGCAGGAGAGAGAAGTAGAGAGAGAGATGGGATGGGTGGGGCAGGAGAGAGAAAAATGAGAGAGAGAGAGAGAGGGGTGGGTGGGGTAGGTAGGGCGCATTCGTGCTGGGGGGTTTGGGGTACGCGCGTTTGGTTGGGGGTAGCGACACGCGACGCACGGAGGAGGAGAGTGCGCGCGCCGCGCGATTGGTGGCGTGCATGGACGCGCGTCTGGGGCGCGTGGCAGTGCGTCGGGCAGCGCGTCTGGAGCCCTTTTGGGCGCGTGAATGGTCAGATTTCGGGCGATTTCAAGGAGCGACATCGTGATTCTTCTCCGTGTGATAATTTGGAATCAAAGGTTGGTATTATTAATACTATTGATGATGTTGGTACTAGTAGAAGACGTGTTAGGTCCCAATTTGTAGATTTTGGGAGTGATAGTGAAGAATCACTTTAAGTTGAGTTCTTCTAACGAGTCTGAGGGATACAAGAGTGATGTAAATCCGGATGGAGTTATTGGAGGTGAGGATGCCATTCCACGCGAAGATGTCATTGTAAACAAAAATAGAGGTAAGAAAATAAAACCAATAAATCTTGACTTGGTGGATTTTGATAGTTCGTTGACCGAGTCACAATTTCGGGTTCTTCGTCAGCTAGTTGGGGCTTCGAGAAATATTGAGATGCTCTTGCCTAAAAAAGGCGAACGATTGTATGCACCCCCGACGGGTTCCATACACAATATGTCGCTTATTTGACATGTACTTCGCAAATTGTGCCTGACTCGACCCTTTTGAAGATATGCGAGGAATTTAGGGTAGGGTATAGTCAATTAACTCCGAACGTGACTCTTATGTTCGAGGCGTTTTGACAAAGAATGGGCGAAGTAGGATTACCGATTAGTGTCAAAATGTTCAAGGCCTTGTTTACACTACATCGTGCGAGTCTTTTACCCTTCTTCTGCGCACATCCTCGAGTTCCTTACAAATTTTTGAAGGCGATTAAATTGAATTGGGGAAAATGGAGTACTTTATTTTTCTATGTGAAGGCTCCCACGTTCGATGTTACCCTTGTTTGGAATCCGGTATGCGAAACTTTGAAGATAATGAAGAATATGAGGAAGCGGATTGGGGAGTCGAGGGTGTGTGAGTTTGAGTTTAATCCGAGTTATATAATTCCGAAGGGTCAGACGCCTATATCCTTTCGTGTAGTCTACTCGATTTATTTATGCATATGTGCTTTATTTTTTCTTGTCTATGCTATTTTTTTTTATCCACCTGTTAGTAGAGGGTTGTTGTTTTTTTTTTTAAATGGGTGTATTGATTTTGCGGCCCTTCGAGCTAAGGCTACTAGAGGTGCGAAAAAGCAAGCGAGGAGGGACCCCTTGAAGCAAGTGAAATATAGTAGTAACAAATCGCGCGAGGTGACCCGCGTGGAGGCCCCTTACGTGAGTGGAGATGATCGTAATCATGGTGTTGAGGGGGAGGAGCTGGATCGCGCGGTTAATAATGGGAAGGATAAGGTGGCTGAGATCGAGTATGTGCCTGCACCGAAACGGCCTCGAGTGGATTCTGAGGTTTCTCACGTGCCTCAAGGGAGAGCAGGTAAATTCCTGTTCAGGGGAAGGATTCCTTTCGGGATACGACCGATCATACGATCGAGCTGAGGAAGACAGATGGTTTCGTGGGGGAGTACGATCAAAGTCGGATATCGGGTAAAGGTCGTGCTCACATGCTTTCGTTGGCCGGAGGAGACATGTGTCGGGTAAATATTTGTTTTAGGTGAAAATGTTTTTCGTTTTTAATCATATGCCTCGATAATCTAATGTTTTATTGTCTATATTTTTGATATAGCTCATAGCTACATGAAGGTATCTCGTGGAGCAGGATGAGCAAGTCGAAAAGACCAATGAACAGGAGCGTGTTAGCTGGGAGGCTAGAGAGAAAGACTTAATGTTCAGTTAGAGGCAGCGGAATCCAAAATTGAAGTGGCCCAAACTTTGCTTATTCAAAGGACCGATGAGTTGGAGATTAGTAGGAGCGAGACCGAGGCGAGTAGAATTGAACTAACAAAACTAGATCGATGCTACGATGAGCTGAGAGAGAAACGGGGAAGAGGTTTATGGCTTCATCAGCTGGAGTCGCCTACAAGGAGTCGGTTATGTTAGAAGGCGAGCGTCGCTTTCAGAAGAGTGATATATGTCGAGCGATGATCGAGGAACGAGCGATAGCAGGGGTTTATGCTCCGTTGGTTCAAACGTGTCATCAGTACTTACGCAAGGTTGGTGGGATTGAAGAGAAGATTATTCGAGGTATGGAGGAGGATATTCCCGATAACGGAGAGGATGTCGATGTCGAGTGTACTGAAATAGCCTCGGATGCGGAGGCGGATAACCGAACTATCGACGCTACTTCGGCCCGTAAAGTGTAGTTTGGTGTGATGTTTTTCTTACTTTCTTTAGGAGAGGACTTAGTTTCATTTTTTTTTATAATTAAGTGGGTATGTTCACTAGTACTTTCGCATGCTTCATGACCTTATATTCGTTTGCACATTGATACGTTGATTTTACTATCAAAGTTAGTTTCCCTTCTTATTTATTGATTTTGTCACGGTGCGACACGTTGCACTAATGTTATACATTTAACATTGTGCATGATGTACTTGATGAGGGGATCAGTCTCTCAAGATTTTTTTATTAGGGAACATGCCCTTTATTTTGGACCTCGTGGGTCGTATATATTGTTTGGACCGTGGCTACATTGTAAAAAGAAAGACCCCGTAAATCAACATAGAGAGACTCAGATAATCCAGCTGGCGAGGCTATATAGATTATCTTAATTTCTCTAAGTTTTTGTAGGGTTGTAGTGATATGAATTTGTCGTAACGGTTAAGTAGTATATGAACAATA